TCATTGTTAGCATTCGTTTTCGTAATTTTGTAATCTCCTACTTGTATAATCCGCCATACCTGATAGTTCTCTGCTTGGATAAAGATTTCCATCTTATCCTTCCAATAAGGATAATATTTGTCGTTGAAGTATGGAGGCCTTTGAATGGATGTACTCCCGAATTCCTTATCCTCTGTGTAAGCCATTTTCCCAGGAACTTACTCAACAGGGTTGCCTGCGTGCTCTGAGTTCCTGCTCTGATACCAACTGAAAGTCTAACTGGCTAATACAAGAGGGGGGTGAATTGTATTTGAGGTGAAATCTAAAAACTTTTGCGGAATTTAACTAAATGAAATAATGACGAGAGTAGATATAGGCTTTTCTAAATTTCCACTATGTAATCAAACTCTTTACAAGTGAAGATTCAAACCCGTTAACAAGTTCCACAAATTAGGAACTTGTTCCCAACTCTCACAGAAGACTTCAGCAGCGAAACTTCCTTGACCTCACCTTACACAAACTCACAATCCCAACCCCAAAGTACTTGAATACAATATGTAATTACAAATACCTATTGCACTGAAGAATATAAGAAGGATAATAACTCTCTTTATGTTATTAGATGGCTACTGGAATATTTATGCTCAAGAGTTATGTTTTGCTGAGATAGTTTGCATGAGTATTTATAGAGAAGGCTTAGTCATTAACCTCCACTATAATCATGTCCACATGCCAACACCCCACCAACAACTTGTGGATTTATCTTGACAGATGGTGATCATGAAGGAGGTTTCCTAGCCTTATCTCACTAATCCACTATCTCAACAACTTGATAAACATTAGCCGTATAATCAGAGATTTTCTCACAGAAAACTGCTTGCTAACTTTATCAAAAGTTTGTTTAAAAAGATTATCAAAAGTTTGTTTAAAAAGATTTTATTTGAAAAGATAAATTAATTATTTATATTAAAACAACTAGATAATTATCTTCGATAATTATCTTTATTCGAAAATAGATGACTAAATAAAACTTTTATAAATTATCTTTTCTTTAAGAAATTATCTTTTAAAACTAACTTTTATTCCAGTAGTCTTTTTAATAACATAAGTCATTGAGTTCCTTTCCGACTTTATATTATTGAGTGCTCACAATTAAAACTAGAACGTGAGATTTGCATGAGGCTGTTTAGAGAATGCTACTCCGCATCCAAATTCCTACTCCGGAACGAACTTTGCTTGAACCCTTTATTCACCAAAGACTCAAAACATTCATTAGTCGAGTTTGTCAATTTGTCCATCAAAATCAAAAGGCTCAACAGATACTTATAATGTCTACTGGGAATCTGAGATTTTATTGTTGATGCTTTTACTGTTGATTTTACTTGGTGGTTCGTAAAGCCATTTCCACCCACCACTTAAAATGATTTTACTGTTGTTTTCTTGGGTATAATTCCAATTTGATAACTTGTTTACTAAATAAAATTTGGAGTAATTTTTGTTGGAAATTTTGGCCGACGAATTGAACAATAAACAAGAAGAGAAAAGTTTTCTAAAATTTGGAGTAATTTTTGTTGTAATTTGGAGTGATAGACTAGAAGAATCCCAAGCCTCAGAAAGTCAGAAAAGTACCCAAGTGTTAAGTTTAGGTAAAAATAATTATTTTGATAATAAGGCTATGTACGTCATTTTAAGTTATTTTGCGGGCGTTAGTTATAGATTTGAGGGCGACGTTTAGCTTTCCACAATAGGTTTTGTATTAAGGGACAGAGGGAATATTAAATAATTTCAGTAGTACTATATTCAATTCACAACATTATTAATGTAGTGTTTCTTATTTGTAAAAATTCTTTATGTTTTCACTCTTTTGATGAGACAAACCCCATTCAAACATGGATATTAAAACCATGTTATTAATAGAAAATTAGACTAAGATAGTTCAAAAACTTTTGTACAGATTCGATGTACAATAATATTACTGTATATTGGGGTAACTTTTGTTGAATTTAGGGTAAATTTTACACTTTTTTGGATAACTTTTATCAATAAAGTATAAATACTAGGTAACTTTTATATATGCAGGGTAACTTTCATTCAATAAAGAGTAATTTTTTATCGTTTTAAGGTGATTTTATAGCGGATTGTACATCCGATTTTTAAAAATGTTTGTGAAGATAGTTATTTGTAAATGAACTTCGCTTTTTGGTTATTTAATTTATAGGACAATGGACAAAACTATTGAGGTTATGGATTTACCTACAAAAACATACATCTAAATAATCTAAGGGTGTGAGCCCTTCACTTTGAAGGAAAGAAAGAAACTTCCTACAAAAAATAAGAATAAGAATAAGAATAAGAATCCCCTTTTTAATCATTTGGTAATCTGTATTATTCACTTGTCCAAATATGTGTCCCCAGTTTGTCAATTGTATAACACATTCATCATTAATAATAACTTTTCACTAAAATCATTAGTAACAACTTAATTTTTACAAGTATATTTTACAGAAAATTTTATGCCGTTTATTTTATGTACTAAAAACAATTCAATATTAAAACATCGTATAAATTGACAAAAGGAATATAGTCTACATTAAGAAATCATTCTTGTTCAAAAAATAAAGAAATCATTCACCAAGATTAAGACTACAAGACTATAATCATTCACCAAGATTAAGACTACAACACTAGATCATATTTAATTTTTCATTGATGTTATATATGAAGTACTTTGTATGAATTAGATGTTTTGTTTGTGCCATTCCATTTACAATGCACTTGCCATGTTGAAAAAATGGACACATCTATTAAAGGGACTTGTTATTCATCGCCCGCAAATCTCTACATAAAGCCCACATTTTATAAGTTTTTGACAAATTTGCCCTTTTTATAATTTTAACGGAAGATAAATTTTTCGCACTAAAAAAATGTGGAGCAGCACCGGATCGCCGAGGATCACCGGAGAATCGCCGTCGTCATCGGAAAACGAGGTTCGTAACGCATCGTAAGGACGAAATGGTGGCTGGCGCCTAGCCAAAAGGCCATGCCGTGGTTGTGGCGCCTAGCCAGGACGCCGCCACCGTGGTCACGGCGCCTGGTGGAGAAGCCTCGACCATAGTAGTGGCGCGTGGCCAGGACGCCGCAGCCACGGCCAAGGCGCCTGGCCACCACGCCGCCACCATGGCGGCGGCGTCCTGACCAGGCGCCCCGGCCGTGGCTCCGGCGTCCTGGCCAGGCGCCAGTAGGGGAATATTTTTTTTTTTTATTTTTTAATTTAATCCCCTTTTTTTTTTTTTTTTGTTTTTGTTAATTTAATCTTAATGTAATTATATTTATACGTTATATGTTATTGTTATAGGATTATGGTGAAGACGGAAATGATTACAGTGGGATTTTTGTACATGATGGCCTGTTCGAAGATGCTCAACAAGCGATTGATTGGGCAAAACAGGTTGCAATTAGATCAGGCTTTTGTTTAGTAGTAGCAACTCATAAATCTCAACGGGATGGTAGAATGGATCGCATTTTGAGATGCGACCGTTATCGCAAAAGAGAATAACGAGATTTCAGTAAAGCGATTCGGTTTGACTCAAAGCGGAAAGGTTGTGGGTGTCAGTTCCGAGTTAAGGTTCGACAACATCAAAGGCGTGACGGTTGGGAAGTGAAGGGTTACGGCAAATGGGGATATCACAACCATGAGCTGATAGCATACAAAGTGGGGCATCGGCAGTTAAGCGGCCTAAGTCCAGCTGCGAAACTAGTTGTAAAAGAAATGAGTGATGCTCAAGTGAAGCCCGCTAAAATATTAGCGTCTGTGTTAGAGAAATTCCCCGAAGACCAGCCAAACCGAAGACACATCTACAACGTCAGACAGAAATTGAGGTTTGAACGGTCAGAGGGAAGGAACCCTATACAGCAGCTTCTGCACCAGGCACAAGCACGTGGTTACCTTTACTGGTTTGAATCTGACGAAGACACATCGGAGGTAACTCATTTGTTCCTTGTCCATCCTGATTGTGCTGATATGATTTCGTCTTGGCCATCTGTGATTTTGATCGATTCAACGTACAAGACAAACAAGTACAAGTTCCCACTGGTTGAGATGGTTGGGATGGCTCCAACGAACCAGAACTTTCTGATTGGTTATGCAGTCATGAAGGATGAGACGGCTGCGAGTTACCGTTGGGTGTTGGAAAAGTTGAGAAACTACATCGGCCCAAATGTACAGCCATCGGCCATCGTAAGTGATTGTGAGGGAGGTCTTTTTGCCCCTATAGCGGAGCTGTTTCCGGAGTCGAGCCATTTACTGTGCACATGGCACATCAACAACTGCGTGAAAGTCAAAGCCTACAACCTTTTCAACAAGAACTTAGATTCAGCAGAGAGATTGGTAAATGGTAAGTGGCGGAAGATCCTGCAAGCTACCACGGAGGCAGAGTACGATCGAGCCTTGGAAAACTTAAAGGATGCGTACAAGTGGTGCCCGCCAATCGTAGACTATGTGATGCATCAGTGGGTACCTCAGAGGGAAAAGTTTGTCAAATATTGGACGAACCAAGTTCTTCATTTTGGGAACACTACGACATGCAGAGTCGAGAGCGCTCATAGAGCTTTGAAGGACTGGATTGATTCTTCCACGGCTGCTCTGGATACACTGTTCGAGAGAATAAACAAGGCTATTGATACTCAGAGGAACGGCATCAAGAACTATCTCGAGGACTCCAGACGACGACATGGCATGTTGTATGGCCATTTCATATTTAAGATTCTCCACGGTCGTGTGTCACACCACTGTTTGGGGTTGATTCTGAGCGAGTATACCAGGATGAGGGAGTTGGGCGATGAAGTGGCTATTCGGTGCGGATGTGCTATATCAATGACTCATGGATTACCTTGTGCATGCACCATTCACCGCGTAATTACGCAAGACAGGGCGTCGTTACATGTCGATCAGGTTCATCCATTCTGGCGGACGCTCGTTGGAGCAGTTTCAGATGATGTTTGACCAAGTGTCCTCTAGTCACCCTTCGATCATTCGTAGTGCTACACACATACTTCATGACATGTTCAATACATCGTGTTTGGATACCGAGGAACCGGAAGGGGTCGAGCGACCTAGGGGTCGACAACCACGGCGGAACAAGAGTGCGTTTGAGTACATTCGCGGTCGTGGCCGTGGCCGTGGTCGTACATCCTCATCAAGTGGCAGCCAATCATCGTCGTCGGTGAATATGCCCGGCACCGGTAAGACATTCGACTTCAATTTCTTTTGTTGACTGTTTGATTAGTTTACTGTTGACTTGTTTATTGTGTTTATTGATGTGTGTAACAAGGAGAATGGACATTGAACATTTTCCATATAAGGACAGGATCCCTAATATCATGATGCCATTCTTGGACGGGTGGAATGATGTCATTGCAGATGGTAACTGCGGATTTCGGGTTGTGGCGGATGTGTTTCAAATGGGTGAAGACAACTACGGTTTAGTGCGGCAGTTGATGTACAGTGAAATCGCATCAAACCGAGATGTGTATGGCCATGTGTACGGCGAGGACTTGGATAGGTCTCTGCAGCGTATCCGGTGGGGAGGGGGACCTTGCGGTCAAAATCATTGGTTCGATGCGCCACTTGATCTCTTTGCCGTTGCAAACATCTACAAGTGTGCAGTCATGCATTTCGGCCTTGGTTTACATAGTCGAGCCTATTATCCATGTACAACGGTTCTGCCCTGGTGTTCGCGCGAGACCGCATAAGAGGCAGTGGCAGGTGGCACATCGTCATCATCTGCGTCGTCGATGTCTTTGATCAACCTCGGGTGCAAGTGCCGGATGTACCATTCCATGTAGTGCTGGTCACACATGGCAGTCACCCCACTTGGCGGCCGCTGCAGCTCCGCCGTCCATAGGCGGGCAACCATCGGAAACTGCTCCCACATGGATATCATGTTTGACGGCCATTGGACGACGTACTCCTTCGACGACGCAGATCGTACCGCCTTACTGGGCCATGCCGGTGGAGGTGGGACAACTTGGACAAATCCAAGCTGGCGAAGACAGCGCTGCGGCATGTACGCCTCTACGATCTCGCGATACTGAATCAGTCCAGTGTAGAGGGTCCTGGGTACCCTATTACTAGGGTTCTGGCCGAAAGGCATCCAGTTCACCTGCACATTATTTAAAATCAGTAACAGTCATAAAATAAAGCATCAGATTGTAAAAGTAGAAATAATTTAATCACTGTACCTCTAAGGGGGACATCCTGTCAAGCGATAACCGTATCCGGCTGCCATCGCTCAACGAAAGCCGTGATCAGCGTCCAGTCAATCCTGTCGTGCATGGTGGCAGGAAGGTGACTGACTCTAGTGGCCCTCAATCGCCCGACCATCTCGCTCTCCTCCGGCCAAGCATCAGCCCAGCTACACAAAAACCTACAAGTCTTTTCCCGGGTTTGGCATTTCAAAATGCCTGTATCCAAAGCCCTCTCCTGGTCCTCCCAAATACGGGTAGCGATGTGTCCTAAAAAGCTAGGAATCACACTCCCGTCTATAGGTCCCCCGGCCACCTCACCCCTCACCATCCAAGAATCATTAACGGCCCTCGACCGTTTTCTGCTACCCGCAGACACAGTGGACGCAGATGATGTGCCAGATCTACTAACAAACCTACCATCTCGACCCTTACGCACATCTACCCTATGCGTCTCATACGTATCATCAAGCCTCTGACTGAATGGACCGTAATCATCATATGGTCCACTCTGATCGTCGACATCCTCATCTGCATCATCCTCGTCCTCGACCTCCTCCTCCTCGACCTCCTCCTCCTCCTCCTCATCATCATCATCATCATCTTGATCGTCCGCAGAACAGTGCACCCGTTCTCTGCGGGCCGAGGCCGAAATACCACGGGATCTAACGTGTCTGGGCCCCGAGCTCTCCATTGAGTAGATCGTACTCCTCACGACGTCAATACTCTTCCCCGCACCAGGTCTAAATTGCGATGCCTAACTCCAAGTAAATAACGAAACATAATAACGAAAACAAATTAAAAAAAGTCGAAAATAAACACAAAAGCAAATAAACAAGTCACGGAAATAAAATTATAAACATAAAAAATATAAAATTAAAACAAATAAAAAAACAAAATTTAAAAAAAAAAGATTAAAAAAAAAAGGGAACATACAATTTAAAAAAAAGAAAAACAAATTTTTTAAAAAAAAAAAAAAAAAAATCGAAAATAAAATTTAAAATTAAAAAAAACAAAAAAAAAATTTAAAAAAAAAAAAAGAACGAGGCACCTAGGCAAGACGCCCGTACGGTTGTGGCGGCGCCTAGCCCAGACGCCACTACCACGGCCGTGGCGCCTAGCCTCTGCGCCGCCGCCGTGGTAGTGGCGTCTGGGCTAGGCGCCGCAACCACCGTACGGGCGTCTTGCCTAGGCGCTTCCTCCGTGGTGGTGGCGTCTCGCCTTGGCGCCCCACCGTCGCCGGAGGTTTTTTTTTTTTAAAAAAAAATTACAAAAATTAAAAAAATTACCTTCTGGCCGGCAACCGCCTTCCGCCCACCGCCGGTGCCGCCACTTCCTTGCCGGGCCGCCTCGACATAGCTCTGGAAATAATTTAGAGAGAGAAAGTGGAAGTAGAGAGTAGAGAGAGAAATTGTGTGTTTTTTAGTATGAGGGCAAAAGTGTCATTTCACTCTTATTTTGTGGGCTTTATGTAGGAATTTGCGGGCGATGTTTAACAGTTCACCTATTAAAAGCATGAAGAAAAAAAAAAGTGCATTAATTATTATTTTGAAATGAACCATATTCAAAATAGGAAAACATCACGACCATAACAATATACAAAGTATAATTTTGAAACGGATCCTAATTTATTTTTATATAATATAATATAATATTACAAAAACTGATACTATCTATACTAAATAGTACTTCCTCCGTCCCTAAATTACATTTCTATTTCTCTCTATTATGTGAAGAATAAATAATAAAAGTAAGAATGAAATTTAGGGACAAAGGGAGTAGCTAATATTTAGTAGTCTTTAAATTCATAATCATTATAATAATATTTATTGTAGTATACCAAATGCAAAATCAAAAGCAAAATTTCAAAAATTACTTCTACCTTATAAAAAAGTTCTGAATAAGATTCATCATTTAGAGTTGTTTTCTCGTAAGTAGTATATCCAAAATTCACGTTACAATGCAATTTATAATTAATCATTACATATGGACATTCCCTATCAATACAAAGTATAAATTGTGTTGATGTCGATAACATCAAACCAACAAGTACTTATATCATTTGACAATGAAGTTGTTTAAGCTTAACCAAGGTTTTATTTTCAATAATTGAAAATGCAGCAACACTTGTTCAAAAAGCCCTTGCCCTTTAATTGAGATATAGCCTAAAATGAATTCAGATTAATCGAAATCTAATGGCCTCTTACCTTAATTAGTAGGGATGACAGTGGGTTGAGTCGAATGAAAGACCCACCCCAGTGATCAAAATTTTGATTACTATATACTTCCTCTGTTATTTTATTATTGCACTACTTGCCTTTTTAGGAAAAAAATTATTTGTGTTCACACTACAAATACCCAACATACTCTTGCTTTTTCACACTTACTTTTTAGTTTATCAATATGTCACATGGACAATTTTGTATTTTTACCTTTCTCTCTCTCACTTTTTTCCACTACCAAAATATTTGTACCAAACCCTTATGGTGCAATAATAAAAAAAACGGAGGAAGTATAACACTACAAAAAAAAACCAAAATTTTGATTATAACACCACAAAATAAAAAAAGTTTTATTATAACACCACAAAAAAAAACTAAAAATATTGATTTCACCACCAGTTATTAACGTCATCCAAAAAATCGTTACTGGGCCCCACATTATACACGTGTCAGTTATCTACTGGATTTAAAAAGGAAAAAAAAGACACTACTAGAAAACAGTCAAATTCCGACAGACGGGTTCTGACGGACACATAATTCCGTCGGAAAATTCAAAATCTTTGACGGATTTACGTTCCGACGGAGTTAACAATTCCATCGTAAAATATGTACTTTCCGACGGATTTTTCGGTCTTAAAGTATCATTTATGACATAATTTTAATCCGTTGGAAATTTTCGTCGGAACATTTTTAAAAACTTTTTTAAAACCCTAACAACCCCTCTTCTCTGAATCTATTTCCGCCCCCTTATTTCTTTTTCCCCTTCTCCTTCTCTCTCCTCTCTTTCTCACTCCTCCCCTCAATCTTCCTGTTCTCCTTCTCCCTCCTCCTCTCTTCTTATCCGCCCTTTTCATTTTTCCTTTCTTTCTGTTTCTTCTTCTCCCATCTCCTCTCTCTTCTCCTTCTTCTTCTGCCTCCTCTTCTTCTTCGCCCCTTTTAACTTTTTGAAGAAAGTAAGGTTCTTATTCTCCCCTTCTAATTCCTTCGTCTTCTCTTCCTCTCTCCTCCGACCTTGGTCTTTTCTTCCTCTCTCCTCCATCGGAATATATGGGTGTTGTTTTTGTTACTAGAAATTAATGGTTTATTTGGTCAAATTCAACCATGAAAAGTCTAGATCTAGACTTTTAATAGTCAAATTTGGCCTATTTAAACCAAAATCAAGAATCCAAAGCCAATTTCGATTATTAAGGTATGTTTTTCGACTCTTTAATACATTTTTTTTGTTTGTTTTGTTTGTTTGTGGTGGCTGGTGGTATTCGGATGTGGTGGCTAGTGGTGTAGGGATGTGGTGGCTTGTTTGTTTGTTTGTTTTTTTTTCCCTTATATTTTCTATTTTTTTTTCGTTGTCGGTGGGTCGCATTTAAGGGGAACATGGTGGGTGGGCCAGGTATAGGTGAACCATGGTGGGTGGGTTTAGATCTGGTTTAGGTGGGCCGTTGTGGGTGGGTAGGTTAGGGCTAGGAGGTGGGTTTAGTTTAGGTGGTGGTTCTGGTTAGGTTAGGGCTAGGAGGTGGGTTAGGTTAAGGCTAGGAGGTGTGGTTCAGTTTGTTGGGTGGGGGTGGGGTTGATAGGGGCGTCTTGGGCAGTTGGAAATGGTGACACGTCGTGCTGGTGGTGGCGCGACGTGTTTTTTTTTTATTTCATGAAATAACTTTCTGACGGAATTTGCGTCGGAAATTTCCGACCGAATTTATAATTTCGTCACAAATTTCTGACGGACTATTCTGGTATCAGAAATTATGAAACGACCGATAATTCTGTCGGAAAAGTGTTTCCGACGGAAAAGGTGGTTTTACCTACAAAGCAGTTTCCGACAACCACTTCCGATGGATTTCAGGGTGTTTCCGACGGAATTTTTCCATCGGAGATGGACCTATTTCTTGTTGTGAAATTTTTTTTTTAAAAAAGAAAAACCCAAAAATCTTAACTCGGCCACCACCTTCACCACCGCCGTCGGTTTGCCCAAGCCCACCGTCGTCACCCCAACCCGTGCTGCTGACTCCCCTTAGCCGACCGACAAAACCAGGCCAGCCCAGCTAACCACCTGAACCACATACTACACCACACCTAGCCTCAGCCTCAGCCCCGATTCGATTTGGTTTGGGTGCGGGTTTGGGTTTAGGTCACGTTGACGGTGACGGTGAGAGATGTAAAGTTGTATACGGGTTTGGGTTTAGGTGTGGGTTGGAGTGTTGACGACGGATCTAGGTAAGGGAGGGGAGTTCGGTGATATTGCTAAGGTAGGTGATGGTGGCGTGATGTTGGGGTGGTAGGAGAGTTCCGACGCCTTGGGTTTGCACCGATGGGTGGTTTTCGGGGAGTATCCGCCAGTGGGGCTGGCAGGGTTAGGGGATAGATTTTTTTTTTTAAGTTTAATTTTTTAAACCTGTAGATTATTGACACGTGTCAATTATGGTCCCACTTAACGGTTTTTTTGGATGGAAAAGTTAAGTGGTGGTGAAATCAAATTTTTAAGTTTTTTGTGGTGTTATAATAAAAACTTTTTTGTTGTGGTGTTATAATCGAAATTTAGGTTTTTTTATGGCATTATTTTCTAAAATTTCCTATTATTTATTTACAGAATTATTCTTACAACTTTATACGAAAATTGCAAGTTTTATGTAAAGTATTATGTTTTTTCAAAAAAAAAATGTAAAGTATTATGTTTATCAATTTTGATCATTTACAAAAACTAAATGACCACTTTCACAAACTTAAATATTCACTTGTAGGAAATTTTTTTTTTAAAAAAAAAATAATAAGAAAAACGGTACTTAATAGCAAAAGGATAAAGGTATATATATTTTGTATATTAGGTGTCCCCTGAGCATTTGTAGGAATTTGTACATTTTGGAAGTTCTTGAAGGAATTTTAGCACTCTTTTGAACAGTAGAAGAAGCTTGATCATTGGCATGAACACCTAAAATAATTGAAATTTGAACATTTCTAGGAACTCTAGGAGGAACTTGAGCATTCTTTTGAATACTAGGAGCATTTGTTGCAGCATTAGGAGGAACTTGAGCATTCTTAGAACAAACAAATCTTTTCATGCATATTGAATCGTCTCTTCATCGCCTCTTACACTTCCCAAATCTAACTCCAAAACCTTTTCATATGCGTATTCACAGGGCCGGTTTTGGGCCTTTGCAGTGTGCAAGCAAACCTGCTGCACAGGGCCCCAAAACTAAAGGGCCCAAATTATTTATTTATTTATTTATCTATTTTGGGTTTTTTAAGTATAAAAATCAATACTATCATTACCTTATTAATGATCCCAGTCACATCTAGATTTGAGTAAAAAAACTTCAACTTCTTAGTTTTTAACGGAACATTTAATTTTCCATACTGAAGCTTTAAAAAAACTATCTAATTGAATTCTTGTTTTTTCCAAAAAAAAAAAAAAAAAAAAAAAAACCTCAAACCTTTCATATTTTATCCTTTGTTTAATTTTTGCAATCATACTTGTTAATTCGGATGATATACTACAAGAGGGGGGTGAATTGTAATATGTTCCTAGTGCCTACTTTTCGCGGAATATAAAACTGATTGTTGTTAGGAACTTAGATAATGCAAAGCGGATTTTACGAGGAAACCATTCAGGGCCCAACTGGAAGTAAAACATCGACCCTACCTTAGGGATTTCAAACACAAACCACTTCACTATAATAGGGCAAACACCAAGTTACAACCTATTAGACACGGACCTTTATTTCACAAGTTCCTCACTGGACTTGCTACTTGATAGGACCCTATCCTACCCAATCTAAGTACTACACTTAGATTCACTCGTACCACCAAAGTACTACACGTACTGCCAAAGTACAAATTACTTGTACCACCTAAGTACAAAACTACTCGTACTAACATAGTACTACCCACTCGGCCTCACACTAGAAGCTCAATCGGCCTCACCTAGAAGCTCACACATTGCACTCTTACAAAATAATTATACTGAGAATCCTCACGAACTCTCACACCCCAATACATAAAACACTCAAAACCCTTTTTCCTAATTACAAGATCTAAACGAATAACTCTAAATACATACCAATGAATAAAAAGATAAAACTAATATGTTGGACAGTTGAGATCTGTCTGGAACTTACTGGACGAACTGTAACTGAAACCTGACTGGAACTTCGACCTGGAGGTTTGACTTAGCTTCGTGGTGAAGGATGAAACCATTAAGCACGACCACTGCACTTCGTCAACCTCGACTTTGAATGAATACATATGAGCATATTTATAGTACACCCAAATTATTCTTTTCGTAAAAGATAAGTTTTATTAAAAGATAGAAATAAAAGATATTTTCCAAAAATAAGTTTTCCAAAAATATATCTTTTGTTAAGAATATATTCTATCAATAATAATAAGATATATTTACCATAAAATCAGATTTTATCTAAATTTTATATTTTTCAAATATACTAATATATCTTTTAACAAAAGATATACTTACCATATCTTTTTACAAAAGATATACTTACCATATCTTGTTACAAAAGATATACTTGCCATATCTTTTTAAAAAAGATATACTTACCATATCTTTTTACAAAAGATATATTTACCATATCTTTTAACAAAAGATATACTTACCATAAAATTAGATTTTATTTCAAACTTATTTTATAGAAAATATTTTTCCAAAAATAACTTATCTTTTTCCAAAAGGGATTTATTAGAAAATAAATATTTTTATTCTGTAAAACCAAATCCCTAAAAGATATGCACGTATTAGGTAAATATTTATATCATTAAATTTGACCTGCGACCTTTAACGACGCGCAGACCTAAGTTCCGATTAGGTTTCGGAACTCTGACAGTCTCTGAGTTCCTGACAAGTCAGTAACTCTAATTTCATTGACTATCATGAGTTCACTTTGGTTCTTTAGACTTGTTCCAGACTGACTTTTATGTCCAACATACTTACATGAATCCTAGAGCGATATACTTCGATTTCTCTGTCTTCATGTTGTTTCTTTGAAACTCTTGTTCTGGAATCTTGTAGTATTGATGTATTCTAGATCTTGGGGCAACGTTAAGTTCATGTTAGGGAACGTTCCTGTTAGGGAACTTAGATAGTTCTTGTTAGAGAACTAATTTCCCGTTAGGGAACTCTTCATGTACTTGTTAGGGAACATGGAACTCTTCATGTACCTGTTAGGGAACATGCTCCGGCTTTCATGGAAAGCTTGCCGAAAGTTCCTTCTGGATCTTGTTAGAGAATACCTTCAGGTTCCTTCGTGGTTTGGTTCTCAAGGGAGAACCTGCTTTAGGTTCATTCATTCTCTCTTGTTCCTCTTGAAGTATTCTATGTTCCAACCCATTGACTTCACCTAAGTCATTTCCTGTATTCACATGAACACTTAAGAGAAACATTAGATTGAAGTTTGTTTGTCATAAACAAACTTCAAGTGAGAGAACTAATTAAACTTAAAGCTTATGTAAATACTCCTATACATATACGACTCACGTATGTATAGAGTACTTACCTCATGAAGCTAACATATGCAAACATCTATTTACATAGTTACCTTCATAGTTCCTTAGCCATCATCATGCTTATCAACCATAACACTCATCATTGTTCTTGTTCTTCTATTGCTTATCATATATTGCTTAAGTTCCTTATATACATACTTGTCATTGCTCAGGTTCCTTGTATCCTGTTCCAAGTATAACTTGTTCATTCTATGCACAACTTAACAAACACATTAGATAGATAATCATCATTAGTTTACAATCATCAAAACCTAATTACTCAACAATACTCCTTAATTGTCAATGGAAGAATTAAATCCACTTTTTCCTTCGTTTATTTCATTGAATGTTTGCTCCTACAAATTTCTATATTTTCGTAAAATATTTATTTGTCAAATATGTTATTTTCTTTATTTTTGACAAAAAATATGTTGTTGAGGGAAAAAAAAATGAAATTAATATACAATATGAAAATTTGGTGTATCACTTTGAAGGATGGCTTTTTCTAAGCAAAAAGTTGAAATTTAATTTTTTTTTGAAGGAAGTACTCCCTAGAAGGTTGATATCAATCTGAATCTGTAATGAGATGTTATTTACAAAACAAAAAACAAATAAAAACAAAAAAAAGGTAGTTTTTTTTGGGTAATATATAATGATTTTTTAAGAAGTGTTTTGATAATTAAAATTACATTTACGCTCAATTTTTATATTTATAGATTAGGGCCCAATTTAAATATTAGAACAGGGACTCTGAAATGTTTGGGACGGCTCGCCCTGCGTATTCATTATACATTTCATAAGCTTTCTTCTTCAAATTTAAATTACTAAATTAGACTTACTTGTTTCTTCAAAAATAATAACCTTCTTCATTAAAATTTTCGCCCTCTTTGTCAGAATAAAATCGCCCTCTTAGATCAATTTTCTTGTAGTGAAGAGAGAGAAAATTGAAAAAATAATAGGAGAGAGAAAATTTGTATGCAGTGGCTTGAATAAAAAGTAAAAATGGAAAGAAGAGAATTAAAAAAAAAATGCCAAGGGGCAAAGTAAAAACGACTCTATTAGATGGGGGTGTAGGGAAAGTTGCATAAACTAGAGAGTCTTAGGAAATATTTCTACTCCCTTTGTGTTTTAATAAGTGTTACACTTATCAAATACGGTCGTGTTTTAATAAGTGTTATACTTTCATTTTTGACAAAAAACTATATCTAAATACTTATCTATCTCTTCTCATGGCCCTCACCCAAACCCACGACTATTTTTTTTTATTATTTCTTTCCTATCACATTCATTAATTTTCAATAAACTATTAAACCCACTATCTATCTATTACAATTCTATAATGCTTTAACTAACCCACTTACCTTATATTTTAATCAAGTCAATAAAATTGTCTAAAATTATATACCGATCAAAGTGTAACTCTTTATTAAAAGACGGACAAAATAGTAAGAGTGACCATTTTAGTGTACTTTGGCCCAAATAGAAAACTATAAAGGTTAAAAGCCCAAAACACAGAACTCCAATTCTAGTTTTCTACCCGCCTTTCTTTTTCTTAAGCAGCAGCGCAATTTCTCCGTCGTCTTCCTCCCACCATATCACTCCAACTTTCTCTCTCTTCCCCACTCATAATTCCCTGTTAATCTGGAATGTCTTCATTGTTTCTTCGCAGCTAAGGTAAAACACTCTCATTCTTCTCTCTTCAAAATTTCTTTAATATCATCTTTTTAATGTTTTTTCATACTCTGAAATAGTAGAGAAAAATTGCATTTGAATGAATGTGAAACAATGAGAACAATGCTCTTTGGTATTATTAATTGAATCTTATGAATTATCAATGATTTCCTATTTCACATTGGTTTAAATTGCTGTTTTATGCTTGTAGTTCTGGGTTAACTAGTAATCAAATTTGTTAATGGTCACCAACTGTTTGATGAAATGCCCAAGTGAAAATGTAGTATTATTTTTAAGGGGATTTTTGGCTTTATTTATTAGAATGAATTCTTGTTCTCGATATGTCCTGAAATTGAAGTTTAATTGGGGCGATATATTGTTTCCTAGTTTAAATCACTTGTAACAGAAGGCAACTATTATATGTAATTAAGAATCATATGGTGATTATGATTATAACTCTTGTTTATGGTCTGCAGGCAATGGGCTCATATTAATGCCTTATCAACTTGAGAAATCTACATGGACCGGTGTTTCTGTTTCGTTAACCATATCTTTTCGGAATCCACTTTGATGGGTTTCTCTCACAGAAATGAATATTGGTGTCATCTCCTTAATCAATGGTTGTTCTAAACTCGTACCCCAGAGTTTACACTTGGGTCGGTTTCTGCTTATCCCATTTAAGGACAGATATTTGGGAGAAAAGCACAGCACTTTTTACTCTACTGATGCAAGAGCATTTCCGGATTACTCACCCAGAAAGCCAACAATCAGAGACTCTGAACTTGTGCAGAATATTTCAAGTACCATAAAGCAACGGCGTTTTGAGACTTTAAGGCATGCTCTTAGACCCTTCGAGTCAAAATTCAAGCCTGACCATCTCATTTGGGTTCTAATGAACATCAAGAATGATACTGAGCTGGTATATAACTTCTATGAATGGGCATGTCTTCATAGAGAACCATCATTGGAAGTTCGGAGTATTGTCATACATATTGCTGTTGCTTCAAAAGATTTGAACATAGCTCACAGTCTTATATATGATTTCTGGTCTAAGCCATATATTGATGTTGCCTATTCTTTTTCTAGTTTTGTTGAAAAATTGATCTACACTTACAAGGATTGGGGTTCAAATCCATGTGTATTTGATTTATTCTTTGAGGTGCTTGTTCAAGTTGGGTATTTAATAGAGGCAAGGAGACTTTTTGGAAGGATGTTGAATTTTGGTTTGGTGATCTCTGCTGAATCCTGTCAATTGCTTCTTGCTAATCTTTCCAGCCAATCAGACAAGAAAAGGGACACTTTTGAGGTTTTTCAGGAGTTCCTTGAAGCAGGAATTTGTTGGGATACTGGTTCATATAACATAATATTGCACATTCTTTGTCAGTTAGGGAAAATTAGAGACGCGCACCATCTACTGCTGCAGATGGAGTTAAGAGGCTGTCCGCTTGATGTTGTGAGTTATAGTATTGTCATTAATGGATACTGTCATGTTGGTGAATTAGATAAGGTGATGAGGCTGGTTAATGAAATGAGAATGAAGGGATTGAAGCCAAATGCATTTACATTTAATAGCATTATTGTTCTTATGTGCAAGTATAGTAAGGTAGCAGATGCAGAAAGGGTTCTGAGAGAAATGATTGCTCTTAATATACCGCCAGATAATGTAGTTTACACGACAATTATTGATGGTTTTTGTAAGTCCGGTAATATTAGTTCCGCTATCAAGCTTTTCAAGGAAATGCAAAGAGTGAAAATCATCCCTGATATTATTGCATATTCAACTATTATATGTGGGCTTTGTCAAAGTGGGAACATGAAAGAAGCAGAGAAGCTCTTCCATGAAATGCTTAACAGTAGATTAGCACCAGATGAAATCACTTATACAACACTTTTAGATGGTTATTGCAAGGCTGGTAAGCTGAAAGAAGCCTTTTTTTGGCACAATGAGATGGTTGAGAAGGGGGTGACCCCTAATATTGTCACATATACTGCCCTTGCAGATGGCCTATGTAAACAAGGAGAGGTAGATACAGCAAATGAACTTTTGCATGAAATGTCTGCCAAGGGTCTAGAACTTAACCAGTGCACATATAATGTACTCATTAATGGTCTCTGTAAAACAGGAAATATAAATCAAGCAATAAAACTGATGGAAGACATGGAGGTGACTGGATGTCATCCTGATACCATCACTTATACTACTTTGATGGATGCTCACTGTAAGTCGGGAGAAATTTGTAAGGCACATGAGCTTCTGAGGAGAATGCTGGATCGAGGACATCAGCCTACTGTTGTTACATTTAATGTGTTGATGAATGGGTTCTGCACATCAGGGATGTTGGAAGATGGTGAAAGGCTGCTAAAATGGATGTTGGAAAAGGGAATAATGCCAAATGCCACAACCTATAATTCTCTTATGAAGCAGTATAGCATTAGAAGCAACATGCATAGCACAACTAAAATTTTCAGGGAGATGTGTGCTTTTAATGTAATGCCAGACAACAACACTTATAATATATTAATCAAGGGGCATAGTAAAGCAAGGAATATGAAAGAAGCGTGGTATTTGCACAAGGAAATGGTTGCAAAAGGGTTTGATCTCACTGACAGCTCTTATAATGCTTTTATCAAGGGGCTTCTTAAAAAGAAAAAGTATGGGGAAGCAAAGATACTCTTTGATGAGATGAGGAGAAAAGGGTTCATTGCGAATCAAGAAATATTATACTTTTTTCTGGACAAGAACTTCGATGAAGAGAACCTTGAAAATGCTATTGAGATTTGTGATGAAGTTATAGAGAGATTTGTTATTGATAAGGTCAATGAAGATAATGATACTAGATGAGTAATTAGATTTTTGTGAGCGTGCATATAAAAATCCCATGACAACCTTCTCCAGGCCTTAGTTCTTGCTACCAGCTGACATGGACTGGAAGGCAAAGGTAAAATATATGTTATATTGATGATGTTAGGAGTTTCAAGATTTTCATATTCACGGGCTTTTTTTTAATTATGAGACCTTTTTGGCTTTGGTCTAGAACTCTAGAAGTGTGATAATGATTATATTTTGTTGTACTTGTATAATTAAATGTTTTCATAGCTACTGTTTTCAAGTAACTGCAGAATTAGGGACTAGTGGCGTTATATACTGTCAAGCATCATCCCCATTCCCAACAATGTTCTGCTGTTTGAATGGTGCAATTATTCTGTTGGCTGCTTGTTATCTTTCAAATATTCAGTAGAAGTTCACAGCTTAGCGGTGAGCTGCTGTTATCTGTTTTTTTGGTGGACTTCATTTAGATTTGTCAAAATAATTTTTTTTCAATTCTTTCAGATACAAAGAACTTTATCTATACGACTATCCTAGTTGAAACTGAATGAAACACTGCTCAAAATGATAAATGCGGCTTCAGTTGTGTCAGTTGTACAAATGCTCTAAAATCAGAAAACAGAGAAGAAAGGGGAGCCAATTTCCAAGAGGTGCAATAAAATGAGCTCTACTTGAAGGGGATGATGGACTTGGAGTTGGACCAGTGGCAGGCCTTGCAATCTCCTTTGAGCAAGCATAGTTGCAACGGCTTGGGCGAACAACTCTATAAACCCCAGTGCTGGCTAGAATGAGGACATCTTTCCTGTTGTCCTGTGCGAATGAATATATGTATCCCAGAGCTGGCAGTGTAGTTCCTGGAGCAGTGCTGCACTGAAGAGGTGAATCTTTGGCACAACTAAATGGCATTGCTGCTGTGCTAAAATTCCCACTATTTTCTGGATTTTCGGTAGCTGCCCATATATTGCTTGCATATAAATCCCCATACAGGTACCTGAATCATCCAACAATTGTGACTCAGTGAGCATGATCATAGCATTTTTATTTTATTTGTTAGTGATGGCTGCTCATTAAGTGTTTACTCACCTGCCAGACATGCATGGATCAGTCTCAGAGCGATAGAAAAACCCGCCAGACATTGCAGCTGATCCAGTTTTCTTGTTGATTTGTGAATGAGTGTAACCTGCTACTGGCAAAATCAGATTTTGGGTAGCTGACGAATTTTTTGTTTCATTTCCAGAACTATAAGGAATGGGGCCCTCATATATACTCCATCCATAGTTTCCACCTTTGGTAATTATATCAATCTCTTCATATTGATCCTGCCATATGAGTGGTATGTTGTTAATTAGAGTGGAGTGCTTATACATCAAGTTTAGTGTTTTTCAAGCTATAATTTGAACCTGGCCGACATCTCCACAGACAAAGTAGGAAGGCCTATCTGCATCAAAGCTGCAGCGCCAGGGATTCCTGAGCCCCATAGCCCAGATTTCTGGTGCTGAATTCTTGTCTCCTGAATATTGATTGTCCTGTGGTATGGAATAGTTACCCCAGAGACCAAGGTCATCTATTTGTTTTTCACCTGTACATCAGAAGATAGTGGCCTTGAGAACTTTCTCATCTTTATATGAAGAAGTAACATAAGACACTTCTGGTCTTAAAATGGTGAAGATGCTTACTTGGAATTTTATCTATGTCAAGTCTTAGAATCTTCCCTAGTATGGATTTCTTGTTCTGAGAAAAGTGATAGGGATCACCTCTTCCTCCACCATCTCCCATCATGACATACATGTACCCATCTTCTGGTCCAAATAGAATTTGGCCTCCATGATTGTTTGTGAATGGTAAACCCATTGTGAAAATCCTCCGTACTTCTGTTGGTTGGCCACTTTGCATCTGTGAAGGAAAAACTATCATTGACAGGAAATAAAACCGTAGAAACTGGTTGGATTGAATACTCAAATGATCGTAGAGATAATTACCGATGAAGGGTTTGATGAAGATCCATTTGCTGTGTATTCAGCAATAACGCTTTGATATTGACAAGGTGTAGAGCTACCTGAAGTGTTAAATTTGGATGGGTCACAATCAACATCAGAGTTACATGCACACCTTCCAGCACATTCGGGTGACTTTAGCCGATCACAGTTGTAGGAAGCAAAGAAGCGTCCATTATGAGCAAAATCTGGGTGGAATGCCATTCCTAGCATTCCAAATATAGTGTCAAAGAGAACTTGATCGGTTAAATCCACGAATGGGTCTGATTCGTCAAGGTCTAACTTTTCTACCGAGTCTTGCTCAGGAATTGTTGCCAGCCAGATTTTTCCAGGCAGATTAGAAAAGAAGGCGCGATTAGACCCGTCAGGATGAGGAGCCATACTGATATAACTTCCAGCATCAATCTTCTCTAAACATAGCCCTTTTGGAGGAACATCAGTCTCTGAACTGTTATTGTTTAGTTTGACGGGCTCGCCAGCAAAGCACACAGAATCATTGTCTGGAGAAGCGCCAAAAACATCACAAAATGTTTTTTCCGACTGCCAAAGATCAGCCAGTGTAGATAAGTTTGATGCAATTGGTGCTGGTCCTTTTGCTCCACCTTGTAACGAAGGTGCAAAGGGCGATTTCAAGATAGATATATCCTTGCATGTGTTCCATACAGTTGAACAGAAGCTGCTTGTTGATTGCTTTGATGAATGTGATTTTCCTGAATCAGTTGAGTTGCAAAGACCTGGAACTGGTTTCTGCTGCTTCTGGTTCCCTGCTTTGGCCTTGAAAAGCTCTGCTGCAAAGGGATCACATGTCTGCAAATGACCAAAAACATTGATTTTCGACGGCTTTTAGCTGAACTTCTTCTTAGGCATAAGTGACAGCATTTTTATGCAAATACTCCCATGTAAAGTTATAGTATTTGTTTGGTGAACAAGAAATTTTGTATTGCTACAAATTCATTTTCTTATACTATTTTTATTATTATTATTTTAAATGGTTTTGAGAGCTTACAGCGCACAGAATTGATTTCAGAAGTGAAGCACAGGAAGTATCAGAGATATTCATAGCTTCAAATTGTTTCTGCAGCTGAAGGTCTTTGGTTGAATCACAGCATGCAGTTCCATTGTAAGGACAGAATTCCAAAGGTGTCTTTAATTTTGCGGGTGCCCCTGTTTCAATAAGAAAAATTCAAGATCTCTGCAATCAAAATGAAGATACGCACTCGTGCACATACACACATATACAGGAGGAGAGTGAAAAGGCTTACTGAAGTCTGTACACAGGGGGAGTGAATAGGAATGTTGAGAGAGAAGCAGACAGTGAAAGAGAAGCAAAATGACAGCAAAACCAGCCATTTTTTAGAGAGTATTGCAGCTGATAGCGGCTCCTGACTTTTGCGATTTGTGTCTCTGCAAAGTGAACTCAACTGGTTGAGAAAGTTTCAATTATAAAGGTCAGATTTGAGTGTTAAATTCACAGGTTTCCCAAATCTTTTTGACATTTTCCTTTGACAAATATCACGTTGTAAGCTATGGCCCTTTATTATGGATAGGGAATTAGGGATAATGTCATTAATTCATATTTATTTACCCACCCTGGTTTATTGATGTTACCAAGTCTGCTAACTGCTATGTCTATGGTTTATTACGTTTGTATCCCAATTTTTCCTTCTTAGCACAGCGCTCTTTGTACGCATGTAATTATAGTCACATATTCTATTTTAAGTTGTTAAGAAAGAAATTGTCTTTGTATATGATTGGAGCCTTGAAGGGATCGGACAATATGACAATATATTTTTGACAAATGGTTAATTAAAGGAGATAGTCAAAGAAAATTTTTAAACCCATAGACTAGGCTTGGGATGAGGGAATCCGTTGTGGAAACCACCATTATCTATCAACCACCATTCCCTTATTAAAATATTTAATTAATTACTAAGATCTTCAATTGTTAGTTTGTCCCAAATTCAAACCATACCGGTAAGCTGTAAAGGGGCACTACTACCAAATCTCTGAATATGATCTTCACACAATTAATAATTTGTTACATTTATGCTTAACCTATCTTAAACTTTGGATCCGTTCATGTATAATATATAAGTGAGTATAAAAGTCATTAGAATTAAAAATGGTTTGGCATATTTGCCACTCATGTCTAGTTTCATATCTTCTGCAGATAAATTAGCTAGAATTAAGTAAATTGTAAATTGAACTTGGGTAACCATTATTAACTTATATTTAAACCAATTTAAACATGATTGCTCTTATGTCAACGTATTTAACTCTATAAAATCTTATTACTCCCTTTGTTTTGGGGGGGGGGGACTTGGGGAAAATAATGTGTAAATAAGGCTGGCAATGGATCAGAGGTGGATCCGGTGGAGTTCAATCCACCTCTATCCGTCAATGATCCGTCCATTATCCAACTCTTCCATCACCATTTAATTCTTCATTCGCATCCAACCTGTCCATCATCCGTGGATGAATCGGTGGATAGGGTGAATTACAGTTGAAATAAAACACACCACCCTTTATTTATAGTACGAATATACATAAACTAAGAATTTGATACTCCGTATACAGTTGACAAAATCTTTAAATTTCCGAACATTCACACTATTATACAAAGACTAACTTATATTACTACTCCGAGTAGTATATATAAAGTACATACTTATGTTGTATTACAAAAAGGTAATAAAAAAACATTCGTAATTTTGTACAAAATATAAGCATATGGATGGATGGGTTAGGTGATGGATGTATGAAGCTCCATCCGAATTTGACCCGATCCGTCACCCGATCCATATATCATCCATATAAAATCTGTATTTTGTCGGATTTTCATCTATTTAATTGAATCAGATGGTTCGGTTATCCATGAGTTCGGTTTGCCCTACGTGAAAAGAACGTGAATATAATGGGATCATAAAATTCCGTATATTTTAGGGGGGGAAAATAAACTCGAAAGTCAAAATTGGTATGCCCTTTCCTTAATTAAGTCTTAATTGTAACAAAATTATAATTAACTACAGTGGGTTGGGGGTAGTTTAGAAAATGCAAAGAATGGGTAAAGTATAGTGGATAGTGCGGTGTAGTGTGGTACACCCAAAAGAATTGGGGCAGTTGTACGTTCCGAAGTGTCCACATTGATTATCTTTGTGTGTCATTATGTTTAGATTCCTGTGCCATTACTTGACCACTGCCCACCTAAATTGCGGTATGGAGTCAACCAACCACTTTAGGATTTTCATTTCAATTTCAGGAAGAAAAATCAAACCCAAACTCTCTAGCTAACAAAACGGAGTAGCATGTTCTTGGCTTCTTCTACTTTTAATATTGTAATCGTGTATAATGATATGCATGAAATTAAAGGATAGCTTCCTCTTAATTTTAGAAGATGTTGAGATATATGAGTATTTAATATATGGATTTTGCTAATGAGTGTTAGATATTAATTTATTTTATTTTTTTTTTTTAAAAAAGTGCTTTCTCTATCCCTAAGGATAGCTTCCTCTTAATTAAAGGACGCTAAATTTCATTAATATAAGTCATACGACATCTACAATTGACAATAAACGATAATGAAAACGAATTTAACAAAATCAAACAAGAATTAATCGGGGAAGGGCTAAGAATCCAAATACATAAATATAACAATTCAGCATATTCTCGATTCGTTGTCTCATACAACTTTTTGAGTGGATCCGTCGTCGCTTCACAATTTTGTGAGAAAGTAAATTCTTGTGCTGATTCCGTAATCCGAATCCGAGCCATAATCAATGGTAGCCCCGCACAACCGGAGGCCAAATTAAGCGCAAATAAAACCTTGTCTTTCGAAGGAGTCCGAAAAACTTTGTCTTTCGAAGGAGATCAAAAAAACCTTGTCTTTCGAAGGAGATAAACCCTTTCTTTCGAGGGAGACATTATTGTAACCTAAACAAAAAGTTTAAAAGAAAAATAAAAATGGGGGCTTTCCAAAATTTTTCTCTTAATTTTAGAAGGTCTTGAGATATATGAGTATTTAATATATAGATTTTGCTAATGAGTGATAGATATTAATTTAATTTTTTTTTTAAAAGTGTTTTCTCTATCCCTTAATGAATATTCCCAATTTTCTTTTTAAACGTCTCAAAATGTTGTTCTCATTTTATATTTTATCTCTTTTAGATACAATAAAAAGAAAAAATATTCCTTTTTTTTTTATTCAATTAACTACCTAAAGTATCCTTAAAATTTTCAATTCAATATTTCTACAAGTACGATATTTATATAGGAATTAGGAATGCATAACAACATTACACATCAACCAGTAGGGGTGAGCAAAAAATTAGGGTACCTTGATTTCCTAAAGAACCTGTACAACAAGTTTCGATTTCGGATATAGGTTCTGGTTTCGGGTAGCAAAATGGAGAACATATTGTAACTTGTTCCGATTCAGGTTCTCAATTTTTTGGAATCGAAACCTACAGGATACCCTTTAACTTGATAAAAGTATCACTTAAGTTCAAATTTTACACCAATTTTATACTATTTTTTTAAAATTAATAAATATCAAAATTACAATTATAAATAGGATTTTGTTAACGAACGTCCCGGGACGTTGGATAAACATTTAAAATCTTACCTAAAGTGGTATTAATTTGGGAAAGCATGACAAAATCACGCGTCGATCGGTGTAATTAATGTTAATTTTAATTTAATATTTCTACTTTTAACTAGCTTATCCAACGCCCCGAGGCGTTCGTTAGCATTTGCCTTATTATATGTATCAACTTTTTTCAACAATTACTATTAGTTTGTTTTACTTGCGAGTTATAAACATTATAAACTAGTAACCATCTAGTATTTTATACGAAAATTTGCAAACAAAAAAAAAAAAAAAAAAAAAAAAAAAAAAAAAAAAACCACAAAGTATTAAATATATTATAAGATAGGGTACCCTGAATTGGAACCGCAACCTACAGGTTTCGATTCACAATTTCCAGGAATTCGGCTCCGGTTCCTCATTTAAGGAATTGTTGCAAAAGGTTACGGTTCCAGTTCTAGGTATTTTAACAGGTACCATGTTATGCTCACCTTTATTTTTCACCATATACTAATATACTCCTGAGTTTTTTTGTTTATTCACCATATATTCATAAACTTTTAAAAATTCATCATATACCCCCAAGTTTTCACAAAAATACATCATACACCCTTGATGACTAATGATTGTTAATTTCGTCAGTCATTGAGGTTGATAATGACCCGAAACCACCTTAACTACATTCCCCTACCCCCGAAATCATCCACATTCCTTTTATCCACCTCCATAACCACCCAAATTTCCTATTTTTTATCCTCAAAATCGATCATACGGATATAATTATGGAGATTTAGAATGGTTTCGGGGGTTGGAAAATGGAGATGAGTGGTTTCAAGGATGGAGGGAGAGATCTAAAGTAGTTTCAATGAATAATTAGCCAAATTCTACTCATCTTGTTGTCATTAGGGGTATATAGTGTATTTTTGTAATAATTCATGGATATATGGTGAATTTGAAATTTTTAGGGATATATGGTGAATTTGAAATTTTTAGGGATATATAGTGAAAAAACCGGGGAAAAAAGATGTTATTAGTACTTGGTTATGCTTAGATGCTTACTATGCTATTTTCATTTTTCTCATTCCGACAAAAGTTTTAAACATAAACAAAGTATTACAAACTAAGGGATTTAATAGCCCTTTGCAGAAAGATTTGCGTGGACCTGATCCACAATAATGTTATTATGGGCCCGAGATTTATACACACGCAACTGACATTATATTGAACACAGTGACCCTTATTGTTACCATAGTAACCTTATTTTTAACATAGTAACCTTTATTAAAACTTGTATAACTTTTACTATATTATTGTGAATTTGAATACGATGTTATGACCCTAATTTGAATATAGTGACCTTTATGATTCATATTAACCAGTATATAAAATATTTCATTACAAAAATTAACCTCTTATACCTTATATATTACCAAAATGACTTTTATTTCAACATAGTGACCTTGTTTTTATTATATTTGATTTTTTTATTAATAAAAGAACCATATTTTCTCTAATACTAGTGGTCCACAATAGATTAGTGTGAACCACATTCATTTAAAAATTTGTGAGCCCTTTGTTCCAAATATAATAACTACATCTTTTTTGCCTGTCTTGACTGTTTGAAAAATATGTTATTTGCCTTCTAACATGCATCTAGAAATACGACAGTCTATGATTTCGTTTGGTTCATATGGAAAGTATAACTTTTATAAATTGCAAATTTGTAAGAATTAAATTTCCATAATCAAATTCATGGAAATTTTAAGATTGTTTGGTTAACAACAAGAGAAGTTACTTTCTATAAGAATTTCTACCTAGCTACCTAAGGGGAATTAGTTAACAAAGATTTCTACATTTATGTGGGAAGTGTACGTAAATTCCTAGTAAGTTCCACTTTCCCCATTTCACCATGCCAAACTTTTGTCAACCAAACAACACACCTAACTTGTAATTCTAAGGAATTGAAATATCACTTCCCATGTTTTTTTTAGGAAAATTTATTAGAAAAGTCTTTCTAAATGATCGATTTTATGGTAAATATCCTTATATTAAAAAAAAAAAAGTAGCAAAAAGTTCTTATATCACACTTAGGTTTGTAAGGAGTGA